TACTTGAAGTCTTAGCTAAAGCAATAAGAAAGTTGAAGGAGGTAATGGGGACACAAATTCAAAAGGAAAAGGTCAAATATCTTTATTTGTAGATAATATGATAGTATACACAAATGATCCAAAAAATTCCACCAGAAAATGTCCACAGTTGATAACTTCCAGCAAAGTAGCTCAATTCAAAATTAATTCACAAAAAATCAGTAGCCCTCCTATATACAAATGACAAATGGACTGAGAAAGAAATAAGGGAAGTAACACCTGTAAGTAATATACAATATAATAATATAAAATGTATATATATGCCTGTAAATAATATATAATATACCTGTAAATAATATATTTTTATATTATAATAATATAAAAATAGATTGGGATAACTCTGACCAAGAAAGTTAAAGACTTGCATGATAAAAACTTCAAGTCTTTTGTAGGGTTAAGACAGCCCCTTTAGGGGGCGGGGTTTGCCTCGGGCGAATGCCTGCCAATAAATGGGCATGCGGAGAGGCAGCTAGGCCCTTTTTCCTTCCTACCTCCTGTGCCACGTGGGAACAGGTTCTGTAAGTTTATCATTAAAGTGTGAATATTGTTTAATATCTGCATTGCATTTATTCACGCCGATACAGTCTTTGAAGAAAATGTAAGATGGAAAGGTCTTCCATGCTCATAGATTAACATAGTAAAAATGGCCATTCTACCAAAAGCAATCTACAGATTCAATGCAGTCTCCATCAAAATTCCTATACAATTCCTCATAGATCTTGATAAGCTAATTCTCAACTCCATATGGAAACACAAAATACCCTGGATAGCTAAAACAATCCTGAACAATAAAAGAACTTCTAAAGGTATCATTATTTCCGATTTCAAAATTCATTATAGAGCTATAGTAACAAAACCAACATGGTATTGATTCAAAAACAGGCATGTTGATCCATGGAATGGAACTGAAGACCCAGACATCTAGTCAAACAACCATTGACAACTGAGTTTTGATGAAGAAGCCAGAAAGTCACATTGGAGAAAAGACAGTGTCTTCAACAAATGGGGCTGGTCAAACCAGATGGCCACATGAACAAGAAGTCAAACAGATCCATACTTACCACCCTGCACAAAACTCAAGTTTAAGTGTATCAAAGACCTCAACATAAAACCAGATACATGGAACCTGATAGAAGATAAAGTGGGGGATAGCTTTGAATGCACTGGAACAGAAAAAGATTTTCTGAATAGAACAACATTAGTGCAGGCACTAAGATGAACAATTAATAAATGGGACTTCTTGAAACTAAAAGATTCTACATGGCAAAGGTCAATGCTATATGGACAAAGTGGCAGCCTACAGAATGGCAAAGAAATTTATCATTCAATAGAAGACTAATTTCCTATCTATCTATCTATCCTCAAGAAACTAGATATCAAAAAACAATTAATCCAATAAAAATGGGGTACAAATCTAAACAGAATTGTTAATGGAGGAAACTCAAATGGCTGAGAATCACTTCAATGTTCAATATTGTGCAAGGAGAGACCTTGGATGACTCAGCTCTAGATGAGATATCGCCATCACATCTCTCTCTGCAAAGCTCAGGCAACCCCACAGAAGAGGAGGTGGAAAGAGTGTGAGAGCCAGAGGGGATGGAGGGCACCAGGAGAACATGGCCCTCTAAATCAACTGAGCAAAGCTCATACGCGCTCACAGAGCCCAAAGCAGCAAGCATTGGACTGCATCAGTTCCTCTGTGTATATTTTATGGTTTTTGGTTTAGTGTTTTTACGGGACTGTTGAGTATGTGAAAAAGTAGGTCTCTAATTCTTATGCCTTCTCTTGGGCTCTTTTCTTCTGCTGTTTGTTTTGTCCAACTTAGGTGTTATGTTTTTTTGGGGGGGGGGCTTTAGAACATCGTTGGAATCTTACTTCCCTGTCCAAAACGCTTTTCCTACCATATGCCTTCAATGCTGGAGATGAAACCAAAGGCCTCTCACATGGTGTGTTCTACCACTGACTTCCATCCCTAGCCCACTTTGGCTTTTTCTTGTATTTAGCTTCTCTTCTTACTCCACTATATTTTCTAGCATCCTTCTGGGACTTAACCTTGTCTTGCTTGAGGTGATATATAGCTTCCTCCCTGAAGTTCTAGCCTCTAGTTTTCCCCTTGTCTAATCCCTTCTGTGTTTTGTGTATGTGTGTGTGGTGTACACGTTTGTACATATGTGGCACACATACATGCAGGTGTACCTGTGTGCAAATGTGGAGGAGGCCATCATGTATCTACATGTATAGTGCTCCCTAACTTATTTTGTGAGACAGGGTCTCTCACTCAACCTAAGCATTGCTGTCTTAGCTACACTGGTTGGTGAATTAACTCCTGAAATTCAGTTGCCTCTGCACCTCTAAGTTGACAGAATATACTGCAATTTCAGACATTTTATGTGGGTCCTGGTATCCAAATTCAGGTTCTCACATTCATTAGCAAGCTTTAGCCACTGAGCAATCTCCCCAGTGGCTCCAGTCTGTATTTCTAAAGTGAACAACTCTCTCTCTTCAATCTTTCAATTGAAATGTTATCCTATTGTAAGTCTTCCATCCTTTGCCTGGCATGGAAGAACATCTGCCATTAGCACCAGTTCACCTCTTTGACCCTGCTTGTCGTGGCCATATTCCTAAACATTTCCCAGCCATGTTTCATTGTATTTTAAGAAGATTCTCTTTTCTTGGTAATTAGTTTTTTTCTTATAGCAGTTTCCATGTTCAGGACTCCCTGGTGACCCAAACCCTTGCCACTAATTAAGTCCCTCTTATCTTTCAGGGTCAGACTCAAGTTTTTTCTCTACTAATTCTTCCCAGAAGACATGCACATCCATTCCTCTTCTGCATCCCTATACTGCTTTAATATCTGTTTAGCTGAGAACTAACTTCAGTACTAGCATGTTTGTGTATATCTTGTCTCCCTAACTACCTAAACACTCACTGGGCTCAGGAAGCAGAATTCTATCTTTTTTCCAACACATTTGACACCAGAACTGAAATATATATATATATATATATATATATATATATATATATATATATATGGAATAGTTTCCAATGCTTAGCCAACCACTTTGCCACTACTTTAATAGCTCACTAAACCCATGGTTAACCTTTTGTCACCATCACCACAAATGTCAGGCACTGTTGGCAACAGAAGACAGAAAAGACTGTCAGAGATAAGGTGCATACAAAAGAAAAGCATTCTCTGTTTAAGCTTCAAACAAGATGAAATACTAAAGTAGTCAGAGTGCTCTAGCAGCTGAAAGTGTTCCTCAATATATTTAGGTCCCTGAGGCAACTCCACAGATTTGAATTAGGTCCTTATACAGTTCTTCTAAGAGAGTGAGCAGGCCAATTATTCTTTTCTTTTCTAGTGTGGGCTGGGTTGTTAATAGCCAGGTGTTGAATTCAATGGCGTCAATAATGACACATCTATTTTCTGATGGTTTTTCTCCAGGATTTTTGCATTCCTAAACTAATAATTAAAATTCAAAATAATCTACATGACCTTTTGTGAAACTGAAAATACGACGTGATATGTCAGAAACATTCCAGTTTGACCAGAAGTAAGCCGAAAGAAAGGCATTTTTCCCCAAGAATGAGAAAGAGTGAGCAGTAAGGAATGAATAACTCTTTGCTGCTGCCCTCAGTGCCACAGAAGAGATGTATTACTCCATCGGGAAAGGGAGAAGAGCAAAGTAGTTAAATACTAAATGCCAAGTCACACAAAGGCCTATTAGCAGATGCTATGCGGATGACTCTCAATTAAGCACTACACATTGTAGGCCTTTCAGAAGGCTTCATGGTATGTTGAAGGCTCCAGCTTAGTCATGTTGCCATGTTACCCCCATCATAGTCATGAGCAGCTGGACGTATAGTGACAGCATCAAGTGGTCAAAAATCCCCAAATATCTTAAAAGTATGTGCAAAGATGATTCTTCTTAAAGGCATTATTTTTCATTTCTAAACTTCATTATTACTGAGCACACTGCTCCAGCCATAATACCCAAAACCATCCTCTATCTTTGTTAGTTATTTAAGACATTAAGCATCTTTTGGGGTTATATTTTCTTCTGAATTAATTTTTTTAATTATACTGAAGATTTTTTAAAGACTATATTCATTTTTCTCCTCTATTGCTATGACTTTCAGGGAAGAATCTTGCTTTAGGATGGATGGACTTTGTATCAATCGCACTCAAAACTGACTTCAAAATTTCCCTTCGATTTACAGTAATATTTATTCAAAAATTTTACTTGGCATCTCTATAATATAGACATTTTTCTAAGTAAATAAATGCCACGATCCTTTCCATCATGCAACTTCCATAGATTATAATTATGGTAGATTTACAGAAGGGCTACCCAAGGCCAGATCTCACAGTCTGAATAGTAGCCCTGATTATTTTAGAGACAGTGAAGAAGAAAGAGGCCCGTGATGAGCTGTGGGGGATAAGCTTCTTCTCCTGACTTCTACATTTCTTTTGTGATAGATAGAAAACAGAGGTGGGCTGATTACATAGCCTGGAGTTCTTTTTAAATAGAGTGCTTATTTCTCCTTGATCTGATTCCTTCCTCTTTCTCAGCTTCACTTTCCTGAAGTGTTATTATTATTCTTCTGAAGACAGGAATTAAAACTGCTAATTGCAACTTTCTTAACAATTATGGGACGTTTAAGTTAACTGCATAAATACATGTCATGGATTTCATTTACTGGATGTAACATGACATATCTACCAATACAGAGGAGTCTAAGCTACATGCTTACCAGAGTCTCAGCCCAACTGAATTTTTCCTATTTGTGTGAGGAGTTCTCAACAGGTTTCCAAATGATGTCTATCTACTTCTGGGCTGGCCAGTCTCTGCTCCCAGTTGAGCAGGTCTGTGCTTGAGAACCGACTTCCCTAATGTAGTCCCTTGAGACTACACACTCTGCCCAGAGCTGTGTGTATTTGCCACCAGTTGCCTTACCTTATGGATTTCTCCCTGCTGGACAGTTTTTATGACGTTAATCCAGTCTTCCATGTCTTTCCGACTAGGTGCAATCAGGGAGATTTTTCGATTTGGTGTGATAATCTAAACAAAACATCATATTATTAGTTGCTTTTCACCAACAAAGCTCCCTGCCCTGAGTCTGCCAATTCTCCACAAAATTAGACATAGGTACCAAGTATATTCCCAGCCACTGCTTGAATATAAGACCTAAGTTTCCAGAGCCACACTCAGCTGCTCTCAGAACTATTCAAGACAGTAATGATTAAAATAGTAATAATCAATACTTTAATGCCACCTCATGTGTGCCAAACACTATTCTGATGCATTTTTAGGAATATTCTTTCAGTCTTTATTATAGTCCCATGAAATGGACATTGCATTTCTTCCCCTTTCGTGGCTAGGAAAATGAAAATAAGGGCAGTTAAATAACTAAAGTCATCCAGAAGTTAAAAAATGAAAGCAGATTCTTTGACTCTTGAGTCCATGCTCTTAAACACTAAGCTACAGGTCATCCATTTCTCAAAGGAGCTTGCCTAAAGTGTTTACTTGCTCACTGCTGTTCTATGGAAAGTAGGGAAAGTGTATTTACTTCAATAGAGTTCCTCTCTTTCTGTTTGTGCGCCATACCAGATGTCAAAAAAAAAAAAATCCAGCTTCTTTCTTTATCATTGGCAGGGAGAAATAAGTGGAAGAACCTTGCCAGGAATAGTATCAAAGCCACACTGAAGGTCATATTTTATCTATTTACCTACGTATGTATGTATGTATGTATGTATGTATGTATGTATCTATCTATCTATCTATCTATCTATCTATCTATCATTGTGTGTGTGAATGATGTGCACATGTATGTATGTGAGTATAGGTGTATATGTGGCAAAGACCATGTGTGAAGGCCAATTTTTAGGAGTTGGTTCTCTCCTTCCTCGACGGGATCCAGGGATTGAGTTCAGATCATTGAGCTTGCATGGCAAACTCTTTTGCCTGGTGAGCCACCTCACTGCTTCAGTTCTGAAGGTCTTAGTGATGCAACCAGAAGCAGAACTTGTATTTTTTGCAGATAGTAAGAGAGAATACAATTGGCTATCATGTCAATCATTGCTTCAGGGGCTCTGCTTGTTATTTTATGATGAATGCCTCAAACTGATGCTAGTTATAACCATACTAACATGCAATTTTGGTCTCCTTTTGCAGGTAGTGCTTGATTTTGCGGCAGATAGCCATAGGAGCTGGTTAGGACAATGAATAACCTCAGTCACTCCTTTGTTTTCAATCCAATTCTTAGTTGATCTGCTGGGCAGCAGCCCTGTACTTTCACTAAGATAAAGGGTAGCCTAGCCTCAAGCTGAACCCTAATGGAACCAACTGATGGGGCTGGCAAAAACAATTTTGGAGACGGTGGGAAGGAGCATTCAGGGCTAGTGGACTTGATGCTTTGAAGTGATTATTCTGGTTTAGATATACGTGAATGACCAAAGCGGTACAACGGCCCAGGGACACTAAGCCCTGAAAACTTCTGCTTTCTTCGAAGTACTCTCATCCGTAACCTCACCATGGACTAGATTTTACTGCGGATGACCTACCATGCCAGGGGAAATTATGTCATGCACCTTGGTTATTCTATTTTTTCCTATGGCTTATCAGTCTCTCGAAACTCTCCCCAATGATACTTCTAAACCACCTTTACCAAGAAGACTGATTGAATGCCACAGTAGTCAAAGGCCCCTTGTCCCCTGAAGTCAGCTTGGCTTTATAGCAGCCTTTAATGGAGAGCATGGTTAGTACTCACTGTCCTCGCCATCATTAGGCTAGTGGAAATTTGTATAAATAATAACATTTTGCAATCAAAGAAGACTTGTTAACCCTAATGTTCCCCAAAATGGAACAAACAGATAGAACAACCCTATTTGTTAGCTAGCCCCGCCCGTACACATCCAGCCATTCTCCATCTTACTTACACAGAAACTGTGGTAAAGATTTCTCCAGCTGCTTTCTGCCAAGACAACTTGTGACAGATCAATTGTTTCAAAGTGCGCAAACTGGAAGATAGAGAAGGAGAACGGTAAGAAGCCGTCTGACTAATTAGGCAAACAGACATTAAAAGGTACACACACACACACATACACTGACAAACATTCTTGGCAGTTACGATCAAACCATTTGTTTGTCTAGAGGGCTAAGATTTATATAGGCACATGGTTTCTGTAGACAGGGCAGGTGGCAAGTATAAAACAAATGAAATAGAAACACAACTTCCCAAAAACTTCTCGGTAGACTTGGAGCAAGGCTTGGGCTGCTCAGCAGACTTGCCCAAATATAAACTTAGTGCTGGATAAGATAACAAAATAGACCCTGCCTGGGCAATTTGCAGTATAAATATTATCAAGCCCTAATTTATTGGGTGGCAGCCTTTGACTATGTCCTTGTCATAGCCAGTCTGGAGCCTGTGTCTCCTGGTAGATCGGATGCGGTAGAGACTGCTCAGCTAGCAGCAGATCATCAGTACCGTCAATACAGACAAGGGTCGTTGATCACTATGTAACCTGTGATGGCATTTAAGACTCCATGCTCAGAACAGCCTAGGATTTGGTCTAAAGCTTTGCTATCGCCACCTTTAAATACATGATCGTTTGAGTTTGGGGTTTGTGTTTTGTAAATAAAGCCCAATAAGACCATGGGCGGTGACATGAATACGGGAAGCCTATGTCACCTGCACGTTCACTCCCGTTTTGTCATTCTAATTGTATTATCATATGTCTGCACTTAGAATTCCAGTGAATCCCATCATGGTGGTAAGGCAAGTACAAAGTATGCTGTGTCTATGACTGAGCAGCTGTGGGTATTGCCAGTCTACATGTTCTATTGGAGCCACGACTTGCTACAAACACGAATCAAACGCAGTTTTTTTATTAAGAAACAAACAACTGGGGAGCCCTATTCTATTCATTCTTATTCCTTGCCTGTCCTTGTATTATGCAACCATTAATGCTGAAAAGGATGGCACTGAAGGACTAGGAAAGCTGGGGCAAACCACTGTGCCTTTTCCATTTACTCAGAAAGTGTTGGCAGAATGTGAACATATAAAAAAATAAAAAAGAAAGAGCTAGTTTTGTATACTGCTGGAAACAAAATATACATGCATGTAAGAGCTACTAACACAAATTATATAACGATGGTGGTTCTTTTTATAAGTTAAATGCTCTTATATTTACATTTAAAAACTGGAATGGTGCAAAAGAAAATTAAATGGCAAGATTTATACAAATTATCTTCTAGAATAACATTAAATCCCAAAATAAAACACCATAAGCCAATGCTTTATATTTTAGTATAAATATGAAACATTTTGTGTTCGTACCATTAATGATATTTTTCCTGGTTTTTGAGTAAAGGGTTCTGCATTTTCATTTTGCACTGGGCCCCACAAATTTTGTAGGCCACTCTGCATACAGAAACTAACCAGGGCCGGGCGGTGGTGGCACATGCCTTTAATCCCAGCACTGGGGAGGCAGAGGCAGGCGGATCTCTGTGAGTTCGAGGCCAGCCTGGTCTACAGAGTGAGTTCCAGGATAGACTCCAAAACCACAGAGAAACCCTGCCTCGAAAAAACAAAAACAAAAACAAAGCAAAACAGAAACAGAAAATAACTGGGGAATCCACGAAAATGAAGAGACATAGGAACGGGGAAAGATAAAAATACACCACTCATTTGGTCCAAAGGGATTAGTTACAGGAAGAATAGATGCTTTCAACTTCTCCTTTATTGATGACCTTCTCCGCACTCACACATTCCTTGGCACCCAGCCACTAATGCAGATGAAAGGATTCAAAAATTACCGAAGGGTGATGTGCAAAGAGGAGCTTCTGTCCTTGAATCATACAATATCTTAGCTTCCATCTCTTGAAGGAGTTACAGTTCTTAAGCAGCTGTCCTTCCTTTACGATCTTCTGAAAGACACAAACATAGCAGTAGAAAAGTTAGATGAACTTGCGAGATTGTTTATTTGTTCTCTCAGATGGGAAAATTACTTATCTGGAAAATTCTATCTCTGCTACCTAGCTGATGAATAATAGCCTGTAGGCCAGGCAAGAACACAAGGAAATTAGTTCCACCAGAAAAGGCATTGGTTTCTTTTCTCTAAAACGCTCACAGTGGCATAGCCTTCAAGTTTCTTAGGATATATTACTCAAAAGCAGTGAAGAACATCTCCATTTGTGGTGAGGGGAGAGAGAAGAAGGCATGCCTGTATAAATACAAAAATGACAATCCTGAGAAAGTACAAGTAGCGGTGGAAACGGCTAAGTTCAAGAAAGGTAGATTTTCCTTAACTGTCAAGGTTGTAGCCCTAGAGAGAACCTTCAAATCAGCTCTTCCTGAGGATTCTTCTTAGCATATTAAGTTAGATTGTGTCTCTTCACTGATCACAAGCCTCCAATAGCTTACTAATATTTTTAGAAGCAAATATAAATTCCTTATCAAGGCCTTCAAGGGATTCATGAACTGGTGACGGAGCAAGCATGAAAAGGACTCCAAAAGACAATGACCTTCTTCTGATTACTTTCTTTATTTAGCACATGCTCTGGCCGATGATTTTCCACTTATTGCACAACAGACTGATCCTACCGGATACAGAGACTACTTATCATTTTCACCACTGAAGACACTCTTGGTTATGTTATAGAGAACAAACCGACATAAAGACAGCAGAAGTACTCACACTAATCGAGAACCAAACCTATAAATTATGGGACAAAGAGCCAGACAATTAAATTCACCAAATCAAGGCTCTTTCTTTCTTTTCTTTTTTTTTTCCTGTGCAATCACCTTCATCAAAATGAGGATTTACTATTAAGTGGCCAAACTGTTTTATTTAGCCTAACTAGTATATCCTAAACATTTTTAATTAATTGATAACGTTTAAAAGACAAATGTCCAGAAATGCAAGTACTTACTTCTTTTTATTTATTTTTAAGCAGAACATCTGGAAAAGTAGGCCTACGTTCTTGCATGGCAACACTTAGCTGGAACCATGTAGCCACTGCCGTCTACAGATGAGAGCATGTGACTTCATCAAACATTTGAATTTGAGATTCTGATGTAAACAGGGCTTGGGAGGGTATATTTCTCAGTGCAGAGAGCTTGCCAGAGAGAGCAAGGAGAGGGGAGATTTCTTGAGGTTAAAAGTTTGAATGTGGGGGCCTGGAGAGATGGCTCAGAAGTTAAGAGCATTGCCTGCTCTTCCAAAGGTCCTGAGTTCAATTCCCAGCAACCACATGGTGGCTCACAACCATCTGTAATGAGGTCTGGTGCCCTCTTCTGGCCTGCAGGCATACACAGACAGAATATTGTATACATAATAAATAAATAAATATTTATTTTAAAAAAGTTTGAATGTGGATAGAGGAATTGGTGATAGAAGACAACCGTCGGTGGGCTATCCAAACTAAGGATATCTGAAGAAACTTTATAGAAATTCACTAGTTTACAAGTTAATTGCAAATATAACATACAGAAGGAGACTAAGCAGAAGGAACCTGCATGGGTGGACGATGATTATTCCCAGAAGGCCCAAGTTATTAAATGAAAGCCTCGGTGCTAGGCACTGGATACTGTCCTGCAAGTTAACGGCCAAAGAGGCTCCAGAGGCACCCTAAATGGATGGTAAGACCCTATTGCTAACGACATCATTCACTTTGGAAACAAGACATAGAGAAATCAACCTCAAGTGGCCAGGAAATACACATTTCCTCTCACTGCTGTTGAGCTTACATGTTGTTACAAGGAGCTATGAAAGCTGCTGGGGAGAAAAAGACACCAACAGTCTAATCCAGCACTAGGACTCTGCATACTAGAATACTGACCTGCATGGCAGAATGTGTCTGCTAGTGCAGTAGTGGCATTAAGGTTACACAGCTAACCCATCCACTTTCTGATTCGACTTGAGGCCTGTTCCACAGGAGGGAATTTACACGCGGTACTGTAAATCTATTGACTATTTTCCCTTCCCCTATTTTTAAAGACCTGTAACTGAGATGACCAGGTATCTAAACACCTACTTTCTCTTCTGAAAGACACCTTCTCTTTAAAAATGAGCTATTAAACCTAGAATTTTTTGCTTTGTAACTTGACCATATATCTCAACAAAATTCATATTTAGTTCAGGCATTTACCAGCTATTTTATGATATAACTATAAGCAAGAAGAAAATTTAATTATCCTTTTCAAATTCCTATTTTATCTATCTTTATACCACATCCTTTCCTTTTGCACATGATCATGAATACAGTGGTTACTCCGGAGCCTATGTTAGTGCTGGGAACTGGATTTGGCTCCTCTGGATAAAGTACTCTTAATTGTGAGCCATCTCTCCACCTTAATAACCCAACATGCAACCCCAACTTGAGAGACTATCAAACTCCACTATTAAGGAGACATTAGAGTTACAAAGTCTATGTAGGAGTAAAGTTTCTCCATGTCATATAGAGTATATATCACAATAAATCAGAAATCAGAAATGGATTCTGGTAAGTTAGGATGTATATTGTAATCTTATTCAGCAAGCATGAAGAAAATAACTTTAAATTTTATCTATACATATACTACATATGGACTAGAATGGCTAAAATTCAAAAGACCAATAACATCAACTAGTGCTAAGGATGTGCAGTAATAAGAACTCTTTCATTTTTTGTTAGGAATGTAAAATGCTACAGGCACTCCGTAAGGCAGATTGTCAGTTTCTTGTAAATCAAAGTATGATCCAACAACTGCAATCCTTGAAATGTACCTAGTTCGCTGAAAACCTAAAACATTGCAAATCTGCACACAATTTTTATAGAAGCTTTATTTATAATTTCAAGCCCTGGTTTATTATATGAAGTTTTGTAATTTTTCAATGTAAGCAGATAATGGAAAAAACTTTTTAAGGCAAAGAAAACAGTTTGCAAGCTATGGCTAGCTGCCAGGCAAAGAGTTCACAGTATCTGAATTGCCGCTGCTAACACTCAGAGGAGTTACAGTAAGTTTAGAGCACATGGATAAGGAGTCCATTCATGTAAGACACACGCTACCAAGTTGGAGGCAGATAATGTCAACATAATTTATGTACAGTAGAGATAATGTCTCAGTAAGGATTTCTTACTGACTGTCTAAATACAGGCTCTAGCTCGTCAGCTGTTGAACATATATGAATACCCAAACCCGGATGTCTAAGAACTAAAAGTGGCCACGGTCCTTTTCTTCACAAACTCTGTTCCCTTCAGAGAAGCTTACCATAGTAACCCAATCATTGCTTTAAAATAAACTGATGCATATTTTTAAGGCAGCCTCGAGATGATAGAAGAGGTAGAAGCAAATTTCATTGGATTTCTACAAGCCAATGAGATAGATGCATTGAAAATGGCTTTACCTGTTTGGGGTTACTAAACTGAACCAAAGGCCCGTGAGGAAATGAGGAGAGGCAAAGCTAGCCTTCAGAGAGATATGGTCAGGGGTGAGCTCTACCTAGGCCCCAGGAGAACTCCCCAGTGCTTCTCGGCCGTTCCCCGTTTGCGGACCACAAACCTCACAGCCCTCTCTGGGCAGCCATGCACTGTGCTGTCTGTTAACTGCCAGACAGCAAACTTGAAGGCTGCGACATTCTCCACTACTTTTCTCAACTTGCAATTATAAATGGTTGCTGGACTCTGCTTTGTCTCCCTCTGACAAGAAAAGTGGGAAGGCCTGGTTAATTAGTACGTATACGACAGAGTGAGCACGAACCCCACCCAACCCCCACTAAACTTTGCCCTAAAAGACATGACCACAGATAGCTGAGAATTAGATTGTGTTCTGTGAACAGCTCTGAAGAGTCATTAGCAGATCTGCGCTAATGAGCTTCCCCGCAAGGGGCAACTAGCCATCCTTATCATTCTAGAGACACAGTGTTCCATGGTGAGCATGAAGAAAGTTCTGCTTCCTTTTTTTTTTTAAAAAAATAAATAACAATCCAAGGGTGACTGGAAGAGTAATTAGAATTCATATTTATGTAACACTGTCTAGCTTAATTCTGTCATATGGGAAAAGAAAATCTTTGAACTTAGTTTCTTTGTTACTTTTACTTTTTATTGAAAATATTTTTTCCACACTTTAAATGATTTATCAAGGTATTTTTCTTCTTAAAACATCATCAAATAAGTTGGCAGTTTTCCCGTTAAATAATATTCTGCTTTGTAAACCTTTTGAGATTGTAGCATCCTGGGACTGAAATTGTTGTCAGAAAAACACATCTGTAAGGTACTTACAAAAGGAACAAAGGGATGGGACAGTAAATAACAAAATCTTCTCGATGACCAGATTTACAGGAACATCACTGATTTCATAAAATGGAGCCTAGTCATAATCCTCCTTGTCTAATCTGTCATATTCCTGTTGTGAATATCTGTGTTGTACCCAGTAGGCAGACGTTAGGGTTAAAGAGGTCCTCGTACGTACTGACAAGGCCCACCACCCACCACGTGACGTTTCTTGACCTGAGCGCACAGCAGCCAGGCCTCCTAGTCTTTCTGGCCAGCTGTAATATGAAAACCCAAAGAACTCAAGGGAACTGCACTGTAGGGGACTATTTAGGTTGCTGATGCATCTCTAGCCCCACAGTTCAGTCACCACAAATGCACTAAGTTTCACTCAAATCCCAGGAGTGCAGGATTCAGAAGCCTAGGTAAGCAGGGCCTGTATTGGGAAACTTAGCTTCACTTCATTTTGGATTCCTGTCTAGTAAGCCAAACCCTAAATCCATTACTTCTAGAAACTCCCACACCCAGGCCCAGGGAGATTTTCTTCCTCACACTCTCAAAGGCTCGGCGCATATAAATGAATTGTCAATACCATAGTTAGAAAACATCTAAAAATCCCTCAATGGGCTCCTGATTACCGACAGGCAATTAGCTGCTGCCTGATGTTTAATTGA